TATTTTGAGACAGGTGGTCAACAAGCCTTATTTTCAAGCTTATAATTAAACAATATAAAACAGAGATAGCTATAAATTTGTTCATTAAATAGGAAATATTTCAAAACAGAAAGATCTCTCCAATAAGCTCTCCTGAAAATCAGATAGAAAGCAACTGGTTTCTTCTAGAGTTCTTCAGCATAACCTATTATTGTTTCATCTAACAAGGGTTTTATGATTCTGATCCTTTCCAAAAGAGTGTACTAAGAGTATGTTCATGTCAAAATGGTAAAGACAAAGTATTTTATAATTCTGGATAATAAAAACTTCCTGTACTTAATATACAATCTTATAAAGAAGTACCAGTATTCTTTACCAATATGCCTACACCAAGAGTTATGTTGAAATAATATAAAAAGGCAACTCGATGTCTTTATATAAACTCTTATTGAAGGACTGTTGCTAATAGTGTAGCATATGAAGGTGTAGTTATATTGATGATGCAAAGTTTGTTTCTCATTTGAAGACTGGAGTCATTCACCTGAAATCTCTTGGGAATAGCTGTCTTGGAAAACTGAAAACAAACAAGAAAGGCACAGACAGGGGTGGACTGCATAACAGGAATATGAATTCTTATTCTTGATCATTAATGTCTTAGGGAGGAAGCTTCTAACTAACGGAATGTGAAAAGAAGTTCTCCATCTGTGAACAGGTGAAAACTTAGAAATCAGAAATTCCAGAAAGATGTACTGAAGTTGTGTAGTGATCTCAGGGCAATGTATGGAATAGAGAAAGCTCCTCAAGTCAAAGAGAGCAATAACAACTTTATAATGCATATTACCTTTCCATGCTTCTAATTTTTTCAATTTGTCCCATGGTATTTCTCTAGTACTAAATTTTGATAAAGACACTTATAAGCTATAATTTTTCTTGTTCAAAGGCTGAATGGGAGCGGAGTTTGACATACTTGGCTCAGAGTATATTAGTATGGTGATGGTACCAGTAATCAGATAATCCCAGAGGGTAAGATGAAATATCAGGGAGACAAGGCAAGAAAGGAGACTTTTAAAGTTTATTTTCTCTTTCCCCTCTATCCCCAACCTCTCCACCAAAAACAAAACCCCAGGAAAGAAACCTGGTTAAATCTTGGATGTTAGAAACCTGGGATTCCTAGGAAAATACGTTCTTTAAGAATGAAAAATAAAAATGCTATTTCTAATGCTACCTTATGGCATCTTGATTTCAAAACTGCTGGATAAGACAAAGACACAATATAGTGCCTTACCTTTTCAGACAGTCTTAAACTTCAGAAAAATACAGACCTATCCAGATTTTTAGATAAACCTAATCAGCACTTAAATGAACCACTGCAGGGTAAAGGTTCTTCGATTCCAATACTATAATTTTTAAAATGAGAACATTAACTTTCTAAAGAATAAAGTAAAGTCACACGCCACAAAATTCAATTTCTAATTTCAATCCAATTTAAAGATTAATTGGCTTTAATCCAACTTTTTTTTTAAATGTGGTATTTTGGGTCAACAATTTAAATTAGAAATAGTCACCAGAGGTAGGTAGAAATGAGCACTAAATCTCTTTTTTGGACATTTGGACTACCTATAATGCTGAGGAAATTGTTAATACTCTGCTTCAATTTCTTCATCTGTACATTGATGGAGTTAAATTATACAACCACTAATTCTGTGGAAAATACCTTTTTCTTTTTTCTTTTTTTTTTTTTTTAATAGAGGCATGTTTTATTTATTTATTTATTTATTTGTTCGTTTGTTTGGTTTTGTTTATACATGCACTGGGTACAGTCAGAAGCACGGGAGGGTGAGAGAATTCACCAGAGCCAGAGCGGGGAGCAGAGCAGGCAGAAGGACTGAAGTACACTGCTGAGGGGAGCAGCGGGCGGCAGGAGAGGTCTGCGCGCCATGTGGGACCCTCCTCCGGTGGCCGGGGAGCAGCCGGGGATCGAACCGGCGCCGCAGAGGCCGTGGGCAGCTTCGCAACCCAGCGCTCAACCACTGCGCTACTGGGGAGGCCCGGAAAATACCTTTTTCAAAAACAAAAACACATCTGATTCTGTTTCTATTTTTAAAGTTTCAGATGGTTGATAAGATTAGTAGAAATATACAATTTCCCCTTAACGGAACTCTCCAAAGAGGAAAAACAAGCAAGGCAAAGAATGAAGTAAATCTTGTATCTAGACAAATATATTCAAATTCAATCCATCCATATAATCAAGCATTACAGAGGTCCAATACCATTTAGATCATTAAACACAGCCACTAAAGTCTAAAATTCCTAAGTTCTAATCAGCAAAACTTAAAACTTTCAGTGCTATTGGCCATTAAGAAAAAAAAAAATACTTTCAAGTTTGCCAAGATGGCTACTGTTGGAGTTGTATTTTAAAATATTGATTTCTCTGGGGTTCTGATGAAGACTAAAGACAGGAGAAGTGAAGTATAATAAAACAATAACATTCTACACATATTGGTACCCCTGGTACATATACATATTGGTACCCCTTGAATATTTTCTGACATAAAAAAAACTCAACACTAAATGTTTCCCTAAATTAGTAAGTGAAGCTGATAGAACAGATTTAATATTGTTTAAGTATTTTAGTATCTATTTCTTTTTTAGGTCCTCAGTGAATAGACTGAAAATGTAGGAGATTCTCTTGTCTTCTTTGGAACAAAATCAGTCTGCTCAAGACTCATCACGAATTACATAAAACTCTCAAATTCCTAGAAAGATAATCTTATCAGATCCAGAGAGAACTCCTGGCTTTGCTACTCACCACCACACAAACACAGCAGTCAGGTAGAAGAAACAGGTAACAGGTAATTTACAACACAAAGTAGCAAACATTACAATGTAGCATTGCTAGGGATTTAGAACAAAAATAACAAAGCAGTGAGGACCTGGAACTCGACCTAGAGACCCTAGCTAGGGAATTTTGATTGGCCAGCTTTCCAAGCTCAACTGTATCAACTTTGGGAGGGGTTGGGGGAAGGAGCCATTCCCAAACTTCCAGTGGATGCCTGAAACCCTGTATATACCATACATACATGCACATGCATACATACATGCATACATACCCATGATAAAGTTTAATATATATAAGGCACAGTAAGAGATAAACAACAATAACCTAAAAATAGAACAACTGTAACATTATACTGTAATAAAAGTTATGTGAATATGCTCTCTTTCTCTCTTTCCCTCTCAATATCTTTTTGCAGACATTTTCCAAGCCCCCATAGGTAACTGAAACCTTGGAAAGCAAAACCACAGAGAAGTGGGCACTAAGTATATACAGAAAAATGTCTTTGCATGCCTTCAAAGAGCTTAGAATCCAAAGAACAATTCAGTATGTGTTTGGAACCAAAATAATTAGACTAGATTTTCTAAAGAAGGCAGGGTCTTGTTGGAAATTAGTAAAAAATTAAGTTTGTAACTGAAATTATATTACTAATTAAAGAACTGAGGCTCAATCTAATAATGGGAAAAGCTCAAATTGAACAGTGAGTCAAGATTATTCAAGACAACCTTGTAAAGTATACTGAAATTTAGAGATTCCAACAAAAAGAACATAAAACTGAGTTTTTAAACACTGAGTTTTTAACTTTGTATGGTGTTCCATACAAAAACTGTAGGGAACAATAATGTATGACACTTATGAGCATCAGATTTGCAAACTGGCCCCTGAGCTCACAATCCAACACCAATTTCTAGCTAAGTCACTTATGGAAAAGTACTAACAATTCCTGCCTCCTTGTCCTCACCTATAAAATGGAGTACCTGTAGGATCAGGAGCAACATCTTCAAAACACAGGTGTTCTATCACTAATCCAAAATTTAACTCTCAAAATCAAACCCCCATCTCTGGGGCACTTGTAGCCTCCAGAATCTGACCCCAACCTTTCTCGTGTTATTCCTCACTGGAGTCACTTTTACTTCCAGGTACCATATAGATCAAGTGTCAGTTCTACAAACAACAAGCATGCTCCTACTTCTGGGTCTCTTTTCCAGCTGTTCTGTCCAAAGACTTTTCCTTACCACCTTTTAAAGTCCAAGTCTCTGTGGGAAACTCTCTCCTCTTCAACCCTGTTACACATTCGCCTGTTCCTCCGTACACTTTACCACCCCGATGTGTGCATTTATTCTTTTATTGCCTTTGCACTAAGATCAGCGAGCAACCAGAGAGCAGGGTCAAGTCTTTTCCATGCTCCTACCCCACCTCTCCTCCCAGACTGGCCCTAGGAAGGCCAGGAAAGGCGTTACTGAATTAAACTCAATGTTTAAACAGTAAAGGCCGCAGTGCTAGAAACTGTTTAATTGGCATAATTTTTAGTGCTTTCAGAGCCTAAAACCTTGCCATGAAATGTCTTTAAATATCAGGCCAACGCCATCCTTGGAAGAAAGTTCTACAGAGCACCCACACTAGTTGACAAAGCGGTCATTCTTAGCTTCAGAAGTTGTGTGTGTGCCACAGAAGGCAGCTTCACCCCAGTCTATGCTGTACTTTAAAATAATCAGAAAGCAGCGGCGGCCGGGGGACAGCCCCGGCCGTGCCCCGCTCTGTCCCCAACTTCCCACAGGCCCGCTCGTCCCGCTCCTCCGCACTTGCTTCTCCAGCCCTCGCCACCCTCGTCCCGCCGCAGCAAACATCCGGGAGCAGCGCGGACAGCCCCGCGGGTCCTCCAGGGTGGTCGGGCTCGGGCCCGGGCCGTCGCCCGCCCCGGCCTGCCCCGCCCGCGGCCCCCGGCCTGCCCCCGGCCCACCACCCGGGGCCCAGGCCGCGCCGCGGCCGCCCGGAGAGGAGCCGGGGGACTCGCTCCGCTCCGCGTGGCGCCGGGGGCGGAGCCCGCCCGAGGGCCCGGGGAGAGGCCGGGGGCGGGCGGCGGCCTCCGCCTACCCCGACACGCACCCCACCGCCCCCGACTCCAGCCTGCCTGGGGGCCCGGCCCGCGCCGGCGGCCGGGCGGCCGGCAGGACTCGCCACTTACCAACCCGCCTGGGACAACGCTGCGCTGGGGACCTCAGCCATGGTAGCTGCTTAAGCCGGAGGGGGGCGGTGGGGGGCCGGGGTGGGGGCTGGGGGAGGCCTCCTACTTGAGACCGAAAAAAAAAGAAAAAGAAAAAAAAAGAAAGAAAAGAAAAGAAAAAAAACTCCTCTGGTCGGCTCTGCAACTGGGCATGCTCAGTGCGGCCCGCGCTTCCGCGTGCCGGTTCCGCTCTCCGCGTTTTCCGAGGGGCCGCGGGGGCCGCCCGGCGTGGGGCCGGGGGCTGCGGCGCGCCGGAGGCGGCGACCCGCCGGGGCCGGCCAGAGGCGCGGGGGGTCGAGGGTCAGGTTCTTAGCCGAGACCGCGAAGACCGTGCCCCGCCATGGTGTGCTGGTCTGGGGGGGGGGTCACTTTTACGAGTTGCACACCCCGGGAAAGGGTGGGGAGGCTCTTTGTGGAGCCGAAAGTGACGTGCGCCGCGTGTCGGCGCCGACGGGCAGTCGCCTCAGAAAGGGCGAGGTAGCGCCGGAGTTGAGGCGGATGGGTGGGTACGGGGGCGGGGGCGCGGCCATGAGGGCCCTCGCCGGTTAGGCCGCACGTCGTGCGCGCCCCGAAACTGGGACGTGCCCCCTGCCTGCGCCGCAGAGGGGAAAAGTTTACTTTCTTGGAAAGACTTGCTCTGGAAACCTCTTTTTTCACCTGCCGGGAGCAAACAATGGAGTGGGATTGTTGCCTCGGTTTCCTCAGACCGAACTGGCCAGGTCGAGCACCGCAATAAAAGTGAATTTCAGCCCAAGAAAACCTGCACTTGGGAACAGAGGGAAACGTGTAGTGGTGTCAGCGCGTGTTTTTTTACTCTTGGCTCGGCCGCTGAGCCCGGCCGTGTGCCAGGGCCGGCCGGTGACGCTGGCAGCGGCACCCCCGAGGCCTGGCTCCCAGCGCCCCGCGCCGGTGCCCTTCTCCAGCTCCCCTGAGAGCTGAAGCGCTGGGGCGGGCCCCCGCGTGCGCATGCGCGGCGGCGGCGCGGAGCACGCTCCAGCGCGATTGGACGAGCGAGACTCGCACTCGCCAATCGGAGAGGAGCAGGCGGAAGCTAAAAGTTTGCTCCGCCCTCCTCGCGCCGTCACTTCTGCGGCTGCCCGGGGCGGGGACGTTTCTGAGTGGCTGAGGCAGCAATGGCCCGATACCAGGGAGAGCCCCAAGTTAAACTCTTAACCGCAGCTGCTTTATGTGAAACCGTAGTTACAAAATTAATCGGAGACCGTGGGACTGGGCGGAGCCGCTTCTGAAACTGGGGAGCAAAGGGTCAGTTAGGGGATAATTGCTTTAGGGAGCGCTAAAATTCCTTAATACAAGTTTTTCCCTCATTTTAAGTAAACTATGTTTGAACTTCCCAAAGTCATGATTCTAACATTGCGATGCTTTGCCTAACGAATGCTATTGAAATGTTTCCAAGCACATTGCTTACATACTCATTCCAGTGAGAGATGGTGTTGAGACACAGGGCAAGCTAGGAATTATGCAGTTTTAGGGACAGTGCAGGAGGGGACCTCTGAAGAATTTAGGGAGGCTTCGGAGATAAGGACAACCAAGGAAATGAAACCAATTCCACTAGGAAAAACAAACATCTCAGGACCAAGGACAACATTGTTAACGCTGGTCCTGTTTTCCTTCAGGTGGTAAGGGGAGGCAGAGATTGGAGAAATGGGAGAGTGGTTTAATTTATGGACAACTTAGAAGGGCAGTTGTTTAACTTCAATGCAGGGATGCCCATCCAGAGGACTGGGCCATAAAGATAAAGATGCAACAAATGGGGAAAGACAGACCTGTTAGATAAGGAATGTGAAGATCCCCCACTCAGTAGCAAATTAAGTGAGACAGACGAGAACTAACCAATCACAAAGAGACTGGTGGAGCTTTAGAATAATGAGGGAAAGAAGGTATATATTCCCTGAGACACGACTCCACTTTGGCTTCCTTGCCCCTCCCAGGCCTGGTTCCCTGGCCTGGGAGTCCCATTTTATTTCTGTTCTTTTTCTCCTCAATGAACTTTTTCTTTCTCTAAACAAACCTGCCTCTTCTCGCTTGCTTGCCTGAGTGTCTGCGAAGTTCCTGCTGCGGCTTCGGGAGACACCAACCTATGGGGGTCTAGTGGCTGGGACTCAGCGCTGCCCCTGCAGCCTGGGATCCATTCCTGGCTGGGCGACTAGGCCTGACAATTCCGGTATCAGTGTTAAGTACTTTAGAACACAGTTACCTTCAGCCTGGTCCCTACAGTGTGCAGTGGTGCACAGAATGCGCATAGCCCTATACATAAGCCACAAAAATACTTCAATTAGTAGGTACCAGTCATTTCCAGGAGTCAGGGAAGGATTTACCATTCTGAAGGTAAAGGGAACTCAAAACTTAACTGCTAGCAATTTTTTAATGGTTGTCAAATCATTTTGCACTTAGGGTAACTTTGCATGCTGACTTGTTAACCATTAAAGTGATATGTTGTCTCAATCATCAGAACTCTTCACTGGCTCACATGGGAAGCTTTTACATAATTGTTTTTATATGCATTGTAATCCAACAAGAATTTACCACTGCATGTTACTTACACACCACAAAATACTACAGTCCATTACTTTTGGAAATGCTTTGAATAATGGGTTGAGGGTTTCCACCTGAGAAATTTGAAACAATATATAAATATTAGTTGAGTAAAAAAGAAAACGGATAAAGAATATGCTTGAGCTTAAAATGCCACAAAACAAGATGAAAATGCATACATTGTTCAAAAATGAAAAATGATGTAAAAAATATATAAAATTTAAAAAAATTTAAAAATGCCACAAAATAAGTAAAAGAAGAAAGGATGAAAACTCTTCTATCAGAGAAATACTAGAGAATATATGTAGAAAATATAATGCTAGAAAATCACCATTTACCAAATAGATCACAACTGAATCATGCAGATCAGAGGATTCTAAAAACCTTGCAGGAAAGCTTGTAGAGTACAAGATTTTCACATGGTCTCAGTTTCAAACTGCCTTATACAAGTGACCAAAACTTAGAATCATTAATCATGGAACAATCTTATGTGTTCATTGATGTAATGCAATTAGAAATACTTATATAATTTATACAGTTTAAGCAGTTTTCTAGACAGGGGTTCTCAAGCAGTCCATGGTCCCTTTTATCCACTCCCCCTGGGCACTTTTGTCATCTGAGACATTTTTGGTTGTCACAACCTAGTGGGGAGGGTGATGTTGTTAAACATCCTACAAAGCTCCTGATAGCCACCTCATTACAAATATCTGATATAAAATATCTCCAGTGCAATAACTGAGCTATCTAGGCTATGTTGGAACAAGTAAAATATGAGAAAACAGACAAATAAATCCAGAATGTGGTGTATTCTACAGGAAACTTGGCCTAGACTGTTCAAATGAACCTATGAAACATAAAAAAAATTTTTTTCCAAATTAAACTCAAGATATAATCCTGATCTTATAAAAAGAAGAAGGGGAAGGGACTTTGAGGCAAAATGTACAAATTTTAAGAGACTAAATATTGGATAGTATAATGGAGCTATAGTTTTCTTCAATAATGATTTTGTCCTTAACTTTAGGAATTATGTGCCAAGTGCTTATAACTGAAGAGTTGTGATATTTATAACTTATTTTCAAATTACGTATACACGTATGTGAAAGAGATGGTAATGTGTCAGAATGTTAAAAATGTGTGACTGAAATAGGAGAATCTGGATTTCCCATATATATATATATATATATATGTTTTTAAATTTTTCTCTAAGTTTAAAAAACTTAAGGGAAAAAGGATGGATTATACTCATTTCTTTCATATCAAAATGTCAAATTGGAATTATGTTTATATAGATAGTGTCACCCTCCCGCGCTTCTGACTGTACCCAGTGCTTGTATAAACAAACAAACAAACAAATAAAACATGCCTCTATTTAAATAAATAAATAAATTTATTTGGAGTCTTGGTGTGAATTAACAGAAGAGAGACTGAGAATTTATTCACCGTTTTGCCCATATCATTGCAGTGAAGGGACTTTCTCAGACTGAAAAAGGATAGAAGAATATGGATAAAAGGAATAGAAAACATAATAAAAGGTGAGGTTTTTAAATTACCTAGCCCCATTGAGATACATAAAAATCTTTGACCTTAATTCAACTGTATCCCAGGGAAATAATAAAATGACTTGTTAATAACTTAGACGAGCCTGTGCCAGAGAGCCCTGAAGAACTGCTGAACTCATCAGTAAATGTTAGAAGCATGGAAACAGGCAAAAATATTTTTAGTTTTAAGAAAGAGAAAAGAATCTTTTCAACAAACAGTGCTAGAACAGCTGAATATCTACATCATACTCAAAATCAATAATATATATAAATATAAGAGCTAAAACTACAAAACTCCTAGAAGAAAAATAGAGGCAAATATTTATGACCTTGGGTTAGGTGATAAATATGACATCCAAAGAACAGGAAACACAGAACAAAAAAAATTTAAATGAAATGTACTTCATTCAAATTTAAATCTTTTGGTTTCGAAGGACAATGAAAAGACAATCTACAGAATGGGAGAAAATAGCAGCATATAGAATATATAAAGAACTCTTACAATTCAAAAATATAAAAATACATCTTTGTTACAATATGGGCAAAGCATTGGAACATTTTTCCAAAGAAGACATACAATGGCCAATAAGTAAATGAAAAGCTGCTGCTCAATATCATTAATGATTAGGGAAATAAAAATCAAAAGCACAATGAGGTACTTGATATACACTAGAATGACTATATTTAAAAAATTAAGATGGACAATAACAGTGTTTGTAAGGATATGGAGAAATTTGGAACTGTTATTGCCAAAGGGAATGTAAAATCATGTGACACTTTGAAAAATAGTTTGGCTTTCCTCAAAAGGTTAAACATAGACTCAGCAAATATACTCATGACATGGTAACATGTTAAATATTAAAGGTAATCACTGTGGTTTTGTTAACTACTACAATATATAACAGTATATGAGTATAATTGACAAACACAGCAAAATGAATTCTAAGTGAA